GCACATGCAAAATCCTAAATAAGCCCAGAATATAAGGACAAGTGCAGGCCTGTGACCTGTTTCCATTGTCCTTTGACACAACTCTGTTTCCCTCCTAAAGGACCTCAAATTCAAGTTCTCTCTGCTCCTCTTCTCAGCCATTCTTTGCCTCAACAGTGCTCACAAGAAGCGACAACCAAGGAAAGTAGGTCTCATAGCCCTGTAACGAGTTTGGAGCTATGGGGACAAGAAATTCTGGGTTTCAGTGACATGAATCATGGTCGGAAGGGAGATCAGGGACAGGTGGGCATAATGCACTGGCTCCTGAGCCCTTGTCCTAGGAAAAAGTCAGTCTGAAAAAATCCAATGTGGGGCTCAGAACAAGACTGAAGTGCAAAGGTGTTAGGATGAGAGCCACTTTTATTTTCCATGAGAGAATAACTTTCAGCAGCTCAGATAAGCCAGCATCTCTGTGACTTGTGTGCTGTCTTGGCCTGTAGGCTGTTACTGTAGAAGGTCACATGAACAGGACTCTATCTGGGAAAGAGACCAGAGGCTGTAGGCTTGGGTGTATTTACACGGGGGATATAAATTCAACAAACCAATCTCTAATGCACACACAAGACTTTCTTAGCAATTTTCAACTTGTTTGCACCAACCCAAATGTAAACCCAGGACATTACCCAAGGAAGGAAATTACTGGAGCACAATCTCAGTTTGGCAGGTGAGGCTTCTTGGGAAGTGGGGGTCACCACACTCAAAGCATGTGTGTTCCCATCCCACACTCAGAAAACTAGTTTCTCTTATGTAGGATTTCAGGTCATCTTCTTGGTTGAAAACAAAGCATAAAAGAAATGCGTGCCTGGGAGACCCTGCTGATGGGCTGGCGTGAACAGGGGAGGAGGGATGGAAACAAGTGATCAGAACTTAGTTTCCTAGAACAAACCACCATCTGGTCATCTCATAGGAAGTCCGCTTGACAGATCCTAGAAATGCTAGACAAACAGAAAATAGTTACTGGCAATCTGGGAGACAAATTATAAACAAGCAATTCCTGGGCAGTGTGACAAGTGCTAAGTATGATGGAAAGTGGTGTGTGGAGATCCGGCTACATTCCATTCACGGAGCCTAGTGACATATACCATAGAGTTGTTTGCTAAAGGATGACTCTAAAGCACTACCTACCTCAGAGCTCCTGCCTCATAGTCACCACCTCTGCTTTCTAGAATGTCAATTACCACAGTCACAAGACACTTCCAGCTGCATGTGTCTTACCTAGAGGGCCACTAGAGCCCCAACTTCCTGCACTTGAACTGAGATTTCCCTGAGCCTCTTAATATCCCTAGGCTGAGGGAACCCCTAAAATCATCACCCAAGGTCTCTGTAGCATATGGGCATGTTCAGAGTCCCATTTTCCTGGTGATCCTGTGAAGAGTCCTATTTGACTAAAGTGTGCATGCATGTCTTTGCCCTGTCTGGAGTCCAGTCATAGTAAATATTTTTGTGACAACTGAAGACCATGTTGGAGGTTGAGGAGTCACATAGGGAGGGGTCATATTTGTGGACTGCCCCCCAACAGACTACTATTTCATTACTCCCCTACCTCTCCTGATTTAACCACTCCCCCAAGACCCTGGTGTTTGTCTTCCTGTGGAGGCTTTAGTAGAGCTGCAAGCAAGGCCCTGGGAGTGCAGCTCTTATTCTTAAAACACTTCTGTACATATGACTAGCAATGGCTCAACTTAGTGGATTAGAAACAATTACAAAGTTTGGAAGGGGTTATTTATGTTGTATTGGGGAAACATGGGGCAAGTTGGAGGGGGAAATGGGAATAGATATGGTATTTTGTTGTATACATGTGTGAAATTCTCAAGAATAAGGACAAAAACTTTTAAAGGCTTCTTAGGGCATTTCTCCAAAAAAGGCAGTTCTGTGTAAGAGGAATCCCCACTGTTAGGGAAAGGCAATTTTCTCTCTTTACAGTTCATTTTATGCTCATTAAAAGCCCTCTGAGATTAGTGCAGTAATTTCCACTTTATAGATGAGGAGATGGAGGTACAGAGATGAAGTGCCCTTGGCCAAGGTCACTTAGCTACTGAGTGCCAGAGTCTGGCTTCCAGCCATGCTCCAACTCAATCATGTGTGCTTGAGAGAACCAGGGTCTATGCTTCTGGCCCAATATTCATACACTGGAGTGAAGTTCTTTGCTGAGTGACAGCCTTCCAGCACCTGCCCCCACCCCCGCCCCTTATACCCTGTGAAAAGAGGGAAGGCCTTGGAATAAAGCTACCTCTAAGAAAAGCATGACAGTTTTTGTACAAATCTCTGCACAGCTGGGTTGCAGAGTATAGTGAGCGGGAGTTGAAGATAGGCCAGTGTAGAGCTTAGCATTAAGTCCCAGCACTCCCTTCTAGTGGCAGATCCAAGACTCTTAAGGGCAAAGCAATTTTTGTGTTAGAATTTTTGTTTATCCCTAGCATTCTTCTAGGTCTCTCCCAAATTCCCAACAGCTGTGGCCTGCCTCATGTTTATGCTCCTATTCTGACCTATCTCCAGCTGGTGTCACAGTAGAGAAAAATCAAAGGTGTAGAGCACTCTCAGACTATAAATCTCAATACTGCCTCTCACTATGTGGCCCGAGGAAAATAATTTCATCTCTCAGAACTTTGGTTTTCTCTAGAGCAGGTCTTCTGATGCCTCTTCACCAGTTGTTGTGAGGCTGGTCGAGTCCAGCATGTATTCCTTCCATGGCTGTGGTATTCTGGTCCACTTTTTACCTCCCTTGCATACTAGACATGGGGTTATACACATTTTGCTGCTTGCTAGACTCGTTTCTTTATCCAAATTCCAGAACCCCTCCAGGCCTTGTCAAATGAGTTGGCAGTCCCGCCCTCCTATAGTCATGATTCAGGAAATAGAACAAGCACTTCAATGCTGTTCATTGGTGGTATTTTATTTGTACTTTTAGGCCATATTGGGCATCTCAAAAATTGTGTTCGACATGGAATGTTGTAGTATTTAAGATGCTTAATGAAACTGTATCCTTAGCCTTAACTGAGTATTAAATATCTGTGCTCTCACTTCCTAATGATGGAGTAGATGGCCCCATGAGGTGACTGTCTTCCTGGGGTTAAGTGTTGTTTCCCAGAGGAGGACTGTTAGAAAGGTACCACTTAGGGGTATTTTCCAGCAGAGTTCTGCAATCTTTACAGACAGAAAAAATCCTGCTGGACAGAAACTGGAGGGGATGCTAACATTTCCCAGGCAGGGCGTTCCCTCATCACTATGCCTGCAAAACTGTAGTCACTGCAACCTGGGCCACCCAGAGACACACAGCCAAGAAACATTAGCCATGCCTGGTCACAGCCCCTAACTGTGTGTGTGAGTCCCACACATTTTATCTTTCATTCCACATAGGTTCAGCATAATGGGGCCTGGGCAACTTGTCCGATGTCACTTTCACAAAGTCACTCATTTGCTTTGGGATTCTGCCTCTCTTTTGCACAAAGGACCCTGCAGCATGGATAACCAGGCTGAAGAATGAGTGTGACTTCCTCAGTTGAGGAGAGGCCAGAGCTACTGATTTAAGCAATATGCACATCTATGGAATGGACCATCCTCTTCTCTGACACACTTGTGAAGGGTGTGCCTAGGCAAAGCTCTGTTATTAGCTACACTTATCCCATGAGGTGAATTAGGAACCTCAATGGGCACCCAGATGCCCACCCATAGCTTTTCTTTTTGTGCCCTAATACAGAGGCAGCTGTACTATTAAAACTCTGGGAACTTGAGGACTGAGAGGTGACCATATCCTAGTCTATTGTGCTGCATAATGATGACACTGAGCACTGCCATTGACAAGACATTCAGGTTGTGTGTAGCATATGAAAGGAGATTATTACTCATTACTCTTCTTATATTATAAAACAAATAAACTCCCAGCTATTACGTATCGTGTGCTTATTAATTCCAGGTGAAACTGTAATGGCTTAGGATATTTCATCTGGATCCACCCTCTCCTGCAATGGGGTTAACTTCTATTATCACCAATTTAAAAATGAAGTAAACAGTAAACTCAAGCACATGACACAACTTGATAATGTCCTATAAGTAGTATGGAGTTAAGTGCTGATCAAAACCATACCTTCACTATTCTTGTTTGTTTTATTGAGTTTTTGTACAAAAATCATCTCTTTACTTCATGCAAGGTATAAATATCAATGCACAGATTATGGAGTAAGATGTGGTCCTTGTTACATATGGGGGTCTAGGACAAAGATTAGTGAATGAGGAGAGTGAGGAACAATGTTGGGGTACTGTGGACTGGGTAGAATGATGTTCATTGAGGAAGTGGAGGGGCCAGGAAGAAGAGTGAAGTATTGGGGCAAATGCTTAGCAACTATGTCCTATTATAGGTGAGGTTGGGAAGGAGAATTAAAAGGTCAAGTTCATGCTGCATTGTGGTCATGCAGATGGATTGAAGGATGAATGTCAGTCTGTCTGTGATGTAACCAAAGTTCCAAATTGTGCATCCGAATGGAGGAAAAGGAGGAAACCTCAGCTTTATGGAGAGAGATTGTAGCTGAGTTAAACACAGAAGACAGTCTAGAACTCCAATAGTCTTCTAAATCAGCACATCTCAGAAGTGTATGCACTTGGGAGCACCTGGAATCTCTGATGAAGTCCTACTTTTGTATTTTTATGGCTGGTACATTTCACTGGGAAAGAAATAGCTGAGGCCAGCCTGGTCTACAAAAGTACACAGAGAAACCCGTCTTGAAAAACCCAACCAAAAAACAAAAATAGCAACAATTTCACCCTATTTATTTTTGTTTTGTCTTAGATATATGCTCTTATATTAAAAAAAGAAATTGATTTAAAGAAAAATTTCATGTAAATTATGCTGCAGGTAGCAAAAGTCATGGGAGACTTGTAGGAAGATTGAAATATAATGGAAGAGTAACATCTACCCACTTCCTGTACTCTCCTCAAAACTCTTGTGTCTTATGTGTATTTTCCAGATCCTGTGCATGGCCCTCAGAATGTGGAGATTGTGGACATTCGTGCCAGGCAGCTGACCCTGCAGTGGGAGCCCTTTGGCTACGCAGTGACCCGCTGCCACAGCTACAACCTCACAGTGCAGTACCAGTACGTGTTCAACCAGCAGCAGTATGAGGCTGAGGAGGTGATCCAGACCTCTTCCCACTATACTCTGCGGGGTCTACGGCCCTTCATGACCATCAGACTGCGGCTACTGCTGTCCAACCCTGAGGGCCGGATGGAGAGTGAGGAGTTGGTGGTACAGACCGAGGAGGACGGTGAGTGAGGGAGACCAGTTTATGGGATGGAGAAGGTGAAATATGCTCAAGGGTCATGGCAGTAGGTGGTGAGGTGTGTGTGTGTGTGTGTGTGTGTGTGTGTGTGTGTGTGTACATGTGCATGAATTCATATAAAGGCTAGAGTTGAGTGTTGCAAGTGTCTTCTCCATTTTCTTTTCCACCTGACTTTTTGAGATATGGTCTCTCTTTGGGATTTTGGCCTCAATAATTTGGATAAACTGGCTAGTCATCAAGCCTCAAAGATCCTCCTACCTCAGCATTCATAGCACTGGGAATACAGGCATGCTTTGCCTCACACAGTTTTTATTTGGCTGCCGGGAATCTGAAACAGGTCCCCGAAGCAGTTTACTGATTGATCCAAGTCTTTCACCCTGCCCTCTGTCTTTAATCTTCCCACTATTCTCACGATCTCCACAGAAGGGCCTTGCAGACTATGCATAGTATAATTCCAGAGTGGTTATGTTTCCATGAGCAGTGACATAAATATATGTTCATGGTGACCCATACCTCCCCCATTCTCCCCTCATGTTCTGTCACTCTGTCTACCCAAGACTTAACTCTTCAGATGCCTCCTGGAAAGGGTATTTACCTTATTGTTTAAACATGTTGAGATTGAAAACCAAACAACCTGATTCTGCACGAATTAAAAGAAGAAAAAACATAGAAGAGCTTAAGGCTTAGTGTGCACATTGAATGAGTTCAAAGTTGATTATCCATCTGGATGTCCCACAAGTATCTCAAATACCATGTATTCCAAGATGAACTAATGTTCTCTTCTAGTCTGACTTATCTTTTCATGTTCTTCCTTTTGTTGAGCTACATCTGGGAGCCCAAGAGACTAGAAAATCAACCTAGGCATTTCTCCTCCTACCACACCTCCCCTCACCCCATCCTACCTACCCCCACCAGCCTCAATCCCTCCACACCTCCCACCCACCTCATTTCACCTCCCCCCACCACACCTCTACCCACTCCATCCCATCCAATCCACCCCATCCCACCTTGTTCCCCCTCCTCCACCCCACTCTGCCTCCTCCCCACCTCACTATACCCCCATCTCACCCTACAAGGCTCTACAGTCTGCTTCTTGCACTGCTTCATTGGATGTGCCTCCTACCTTGAGGACACTGGAATGTGGAGCTAGTTTTATGGAATGCATAACTACCTTCCTTTCTGTCCTTGCCAATGCTATTCCTTCTGTTTAGAATGACATCTCCTTTCATGTCTCAGGAAAGATTCCTCTATTGCTGTTCCAAGACTTTACTTAAATTTTACTTTCTCTATCAGTTTCCTTTGCCTCACATTTCTTGGTTGTTTCATCCCAGAATTCCAGTACAATACTCCACATAGTAGCTGTCTTATATGGGACAGAATTTGTGATTTCTGAAACATACCTAAGAAATACTTCTCTGTGTGCTTATTTTGTTTTTTTTCTTGGCTTGGTTAATTTCTGGCCCTATTAAATTCTCCAGAATCTGACTCAACCTATATTTCATGACAAAGGAAAGTTTAGGTAGGGATGACAATTAGACAAGGGAAGTGGAAGAAGCTATGTTTCAGCTTCTGGGCAGGTTCAAGGACAGCTCTCCAGGATGGGTCATGTGTCACAGAAGTTGCAAGCCAGGGGAAGGAGCTGCAGCTTGCCCTAGATCTAGATCCATTTTTTAAACATGAACAGCCCTACCTGCTGCCATATCCACCAGGGAGAATAGCACTCTTTGAGAAGGTAGACTCTCCAGGCCACTATGCTCTTTGTATGTTGGTTTTCTCACTTATAAAACAGACTTGATATTAATGCTACCTTGTAGTTTATTGTGAATACTAAAGGGGATGGTAGCAATAAGCTTTCAATAAGCAGTAAGTCACAGAAAAAACTCCTGACCAGAAAGCCTCTGGTACAGAGAACACAGCCAACCAGATGCAGTGGGACACATATCCACACTCTCACCAACCATTGCACTGATTGTAGAAAGTAAAATGTTCTCAGTGTACTTGGGTCCTGATTGGAGAAACAGGGTGGTGGGCAGAAAGTGGTCAATGGTTACTATTCCCAGGCTATCCCCTAGTGCTGGAACTCAGGAGTCTTTGTTGACACAGTATCATGATACAGCCAAGGAACAACTCAGAGAGAAACCCTTCTCAGGCATTCCCTCGGACCTTTGAACTGCACTATGAGAATGACCTCCACCTGCATCAGCAAGTCCCCAGGCCTAGCTTTAAGCTGTGCCTTGTCCTCTATCTTTCTCATTTTTACCATCCATAGAAAAATAAATAAACCACAAAGCCTTTATCAAAACAATGTGGGAACAGCAGTGCTTTGAAATTAAATTTTTAGTAAACATCATTAATAAAACATCAATTTGTGCTTCAGGAGATGTGTGGACATTATCATATTAAAGACACCAGCATATAAGACACCCTTCCTTGGTCTGTAGCTCTTCTGAGGCCATAGCTCAGAAACTGCTGGGAGGTCTCGGGGGGTGTGGAGACTCTTTGGCAGTTTGTATTTGTTTTTGTCTATTAATGCATTGTCCCAATATGTTGCTCAGGCTACTCTTAAACTCTTGGCTGAAGCCATCCTCCAGTCTTAGCCTCTAGAGTAGCTAGGACTAACGCATGTGTCAAGACTGCTGTGGACAATCCCTGTTTGTCAAAGCCAGATTCTCTTCTCAGAGGGAGAAAGCATTGGCTCCTTTTCTTAGAAACTCATTGAAAGTAAAGTACACTGAGGTTGAAGCTTGGCAGGGATGCCTGCCTGAAGCTCCCCTCCAGGAGCCAGAGATCAGTCTCCCAGATGGGACTCACTGACTTGGTGTTGCTCTCCTGCCCTCAAAACATGGAATTATTTTTTTGTCAGGGGGATTCAGGATCAATCATTTTAGCACCCCAGTGCCTTTGAAGGTACACAGAATAATTGCTAGAGAGAAACTTCTGGTCCCAGAGACACTGAACTTTATCAGGAAAACAGCTGTTAGAAAAAATTGAGTGGACTTTTACTGTGCCTTGTCCTACAATTATTTCAGATCTTCATGGTCATCACTCAACGTTAGCCAAACTACACCTAAGTGTGTGAACATCTAACATAGAAAGTCTTTGCAAGTGTAAACCACATAACATGAAGTTGGGGAGGGATAAGGAAGGGTGGAGTTAGATCTGAGAGAAGCTAGGGGGAGAACCAGGAATGCATATGATCAAAATATATTATTTGAATGTATAAAAAGTACAGCTTAAAAGTTAAGATATTTTCACATATATCCACAATATCATACAGCATCTAAGAAAGTTAGCATTACCTTAAAATGATTCAACATGGGCCATCAAGAAGGCTTAGTACAGTGGTTCTCGACCTGTGGACCACAACCCACTTGGGGGCCACATATCAGATATTATGTATATTTGTATTTATATCACAATTCATAAAAGTAGCAAAATTACAGCAACAAAATAATTTTATGGTTGGGGGGTCACCACAGTATAAGGAAGGGTCATAACATCAAGAGGTTGAGAGCCGCTGGCTTAGTGAATAAAGGCATTTCCATCAAGCTTCACAACCCGAGATCCACAAAGTAGAAGCAGAGAACTTACCCTGGATAGTTGTCCTCTGACCTTTACATCCATGCCATAGTGCATGCACATGCACAAGTACACAAATGTACACACCCCCACACATATACATGTGATCTATCTTTATATACTTATATATACAAAACAAGTAAATAATGCAATCAAAATAGCCCAAGGTACAGTTCATTTCCTATTTCTTCTAATGTTAAACTTAACTCTGCATGATGAAACCAGGATGCAAGATAATTTCCATTAAAACATTAAAAGGTAGTAGTGAGCATTTCTCATTGTATCTTTCCAAGGGTCACATATGGTGATGGTACATGTTGTTGATTATTATGGAAAACATGACATTATAAATATACATAAGACATACAAATGTATGCATGAGATATAAACACATATAAATATGTTTTCCTCTTTAAATGTTCCTCTTTTGTGACATTTTGAGATGGTGTAAGTGTCCTGTGGTCACCCCAAATCTTTACTCAATGATTTTAGCACTTATTCAAAATCCTTATCTAAATCAGTTGGTTACATTGATAACTTTAAAATCTGCCATCTTGTCTACACTTACTTATTTGCATGTTTCTTCATAGAAGAGATTTCTCTCATCTTACATGTGTCTATGATTCTTACAAATTCACAAAGCAGGTCTAACTCAGCAGACTAAGTTCCATCACCATCTTTATTTTTGAGTGATCAAGTTGTCTTGACCATGGCTAGAAAGAATCCCTTTGATCTGGCCCTTGGGTCCTTAAGATATGTCCTTTTTAGTCATTCTCTTTTCTGGCATGATACAATGTTCCAGATGGTCTGTAATGTTCCTGCTCCCAACACACTTCACTCAGCTAAAGATTTCTTTTTTTTTTTTTTTTTGGTTTTTTCGAGACAGGGTTTCTCTGTATTGTCTTGGAGGCTGTCCTGGAACTCACTTTGTAGACCAGGCTGGCCTCGAACTCACAGAGATCCACCTGCCTCTGCCTCCCGAGTGCTGGGACTAAAGGCGTGTGCCACCAACGCCCGGCCTCAGCTAAAGATTTCTGCTTGCTTCTGCAGGCAGGAGTCTCTGGGCTCTAAGATGGGTCTTAGGTTTGTTGAATGGAGCAGCAATGCCACTAGCTGCTTCACAAAGAAGAGCTGGGGAATATAACTCACCTGTTTTAAATCATAGGCCCATACTGATTGAAACGCAACACCTCCCAATACCTCTTCACAGTTCACACGTGTATTCCTACAGTGAAGAACCCAATTCTCTACATCCACCTGTCTATGCATTTGCACCATCCCAAATTCTACCAACCCACCAGCAATCAGTAAACCTCCTAAGGGAGCATTTTAACTTCTCTGCACTAAGCTCTGCCCTGCTTAGAATGTACAGTCAAATACTGTGTTCAAACATTCCAAGTTTCTAT